TGCGCCTGTCTGTCTTGGAATGACTGGATGTTGTTGTTGATGTTGTTTTGTTGCTGTGGTTGTCATGTTCTTGTGGATGCTGGGTACACGTTCTTCTCTTTACTATGAATGACTGGCACCTCTTTACTATGAATGCACCTAAAGACTGTTTGAAGAGGGAATGATGTGTCACTTGTGGTATGGAGCACCCTGTTGGTTTTGCCCCGGTAACGGGTACTGTGTTCGAATGGGAAGTTTATCTGTTTAATGTTGGATCTGTAGAATAATGAATTCTCCCCACTCTTGCAGCAACACAGTGGACCTTATGTCAATGGACCGTATCATGTCTCATAGTAGAACTAAGATATACTGACCTATATGCAGTGTATTTGATGGTGAATGGTTCTTTGATGGTTCCTTCCTGTTCTCAGCTCTTTCATGAGGAGCTTGCCCTGCAGTGGGTGGTCAGCAGTGGCAGCGTGAGGGAGGGAGCCCTGCAACAGGCCTGGTTCTTCTTTGAGCTTATGGTAAGAACTGCCACAATCATAAATCCCCATGCTTCCTCCTTCATGATCAAAAGTGTAGCATCTGTTATTGTGAGGGAAAAAAAGGATGTTCTTTCTCTTTTCAGGTTAAGAGCATCATTCACCACTTATACTTTACTGACCGCCTGCAGTCTCCCAGGAAGAACCGCTTCCCTGAGCGCTTCATGGATGACATCACCGCTCTGGTTAGCACCATTGCAGGTGACATCGTCTCACGTTTCCAGAAGGTGAGAAAACTGCAACTACATGAAATAACTTTTATTTTGTTTTAAATAATAATATCATTATTATTTTACTCTTAAAGAGACGTAATCCCCGAAACAGAGCTTCCCACTTGCGCAATACTGAAATATCTGCTAAGTGTGTTACTTACCTTTGTCAACCTGGCAACCATGTGTTGGCGCTCACTCTGCACTGTGGATAAACGCGCTTGCTTTCTGATAACACCGGTTAGTTTGCAGTTTAGCGATCTCCACTTTAATATTCTATTCTCAGAAAAGTGTAATTAATTAAGTGTTTATTTACGAGTGAGAGAGAATCTGTGTATGCATGAATTACCACCGGTTTGCCGCGTTTCTCTATTAACAGTGAATCTGTGGCTTTAATTGCTTTAGAAACATGTTACCAGCTCCTTGTTGAGAAAAATAATGTAGCTCTTCAGCAATTAAGCTATTTTATTGATAAAATTGCGGGGCAGCGCTGAGATGTTTGTTGCTGAATGTCTGTGCGCGCGCAGCGTGATCTGTTTGAGTGACTAATAAAAGTGTGCGCGTGAGCTACAGTAGCTGCGTTTCCATCCACCTATTTTTATGCGCATTTTGGAATATCGCATAAAAATCGCTGGATGGAAACGCCAAGATGCGCATAAATTCTAAAAATGCGCATAAAAAACTTATACGCACATTTGAGTAGGATCAACTTTTTATCCGATAAGAAAAAATGTGCATAAACTACGATGGAAACACATTTAACATTTACCGAATAAATTCCTCCATGCTCATCGAAAAAGTCATGTGACTTTGCGCTATGAGACGGGATAACTTGACTAGCAGCAGACCGATCTCGTTCACAGCATCTACAGGTGCATCTCAATAAATTAGAATGTCGTGGAAAAGTTCATTTATTTCAGTAATTCAACTCAAATATTATATTCAGTGGCTTCTCCTAGTTTTCTTAGAGATATTTAATGCCAGTTTATCAGGAAGTGATGATTTTGTTCTCTTTGACTCGTTGGATGGAAACGGTGCTTTATTCGCAAATGTTTTATGCGATATTGCAGTTTTGCGCATAAGTTAAATTCGCATCTTTGGATGGAAACATAGCTAGTGTTACATGATCCTTCAGAAATCATTCTAATATGCTGATTTATTGTCAGTGTTGGAAAAGGTTGTGCGGATTCATTTTTATTTTAATTTTTTTGGAACCTATGATACCTTTTTCAGGATTCTTTGCTAAATAAAAAGTTAAAAATAACAGCATTTATACAGAATATAACTTTATTGTCTTTTGTAACAATATACACTACCATTCAAAAGATTGAGGTCAGTACTTTTTTTTTTTTGAAAGGTATGTATACTTTTATTCGGCAAGGATATGTTAAATCAATAAAAAGTGATAGTAAAGACCGATATTGTTACAAAAGATTTATTTTGAATAAATATATGTATGTATAATTATAGAATTATAATATTATTCATTTGCTTTATGTATTTCAGTGCATGTTGCATTTTGCATATGATATTGATATTTATATGATAATGGTGATAATTATATTATGTAAAACAATATAAAAAAGAAACAAATAAATGAAAATTAGTATGACATTATGTCATTTAAGTATAATTTGAAGTTCAATGGTTAATTCTTACAGGTGATCAGTCAAGAAAAAACATGATTTCCAGTTTGTCTGTTTATTCTAATTATTTTAAGCTTTTGAAGTGGTGAGTTTGCTGTTTCATGTTTGTCTTTTTTTTCTTTTTAGGATCTTGAGTTGGTGGAAAGGCTCAACACCAGCTTGGCCTTCTTCCTCAATGACCTCCTGTCAGTCATGGATAGAGGCTTTGTCTTCTCTCTCATCAAAACCTACTGGAAACAGGTACCTTGCAATTCAGCTCCAAACATGCTATGTTTTTTACACATTGTCTTTTCTGATGGCCTTCTATTCCTTCTGTTTCCAGGTGTCCACCAAGCTCTATGCACTACAGAACCCCACTCTAGAGTCTCTGAGACTAGACTTCCTGAGGATCATCTGTAGCCATGAACACTACGTCACTCTAAACCTGCCCTTCAGTCTACTTACACCCCCAGCCTCCCCCTCTCCTTCAGTCTCCTCTGCCACATCTCAGGTATGAACACTAACTGAGAAAGTTAACTGTAATAAACTCTAAATTACACCAAAATTGATAGTAATGAAAACCTTCTTCCCATTTTTTTGTTTTTCTTTCTCATTGTCTTCCACCAGAGTTCTGGATTCTCTACCCATGTGCAGGACCAAAAGATTGCCAACATGTTTGAGCTGTCTGTGCCCTTCAGAGAGCAGCATTACCTCACTGGTCTGGTTCTGACAGAGCTGGCTGTAATACTCGACCCTGAGGCTGACGGGTCAGTACCCGTCATTTAGTCATCTAGCAGACGCAAACAAATGAGGACAATAGAAGCAATCAAAACCAACAATAACTATAATTATATTTACAATTATGTATATTATTTTTTTATTTTTACATATTTTATTATTATATAATTCATCATTTAAATTAAGTATTTTAATTATTTTTTTATTTTAAGTATTTCTAACACTTATTATTTAAGTATTTAAATTATTTATAACATCTATCAAATATGTCATTTTACTCTCATTTTCTCTTGCTATAGGATGTTTGGTCTTCATAAGAAGGTCATCAGCGTGGTTCATAATCTGCTGTCCAGTCATGACTCGGACCCACGTTATGCTGACCCTGAGGTCAAAGCTCGAGTTGCACTGCTCTACCTACCACTCATAGGCATTGTGATGGAAACCCTTCCCCAGCTCCATGATTTCACCGGTATGTTCATAGATTTTTGTATCCTGCTCATAGTGCTGGGCGGTATACCAGTTCATATCGAATACCGGTGTTTATTTTTGTTATGATATGAATTTTTTAAATACCGGTGTATGTCGCTTAAACAACGTTCGGAACGCGACACTGTTTGAAAGGGGTCCCTTTTCACTGTTGCACTGTGGTGAGGGAACAGCTGTATGTGTTACTAAGCGTGAAAGTTCCGAAACTGAAGCTGTAGAACTAATAGAACGTGATGACAGAAGAACTCATCCACAATATCCACATTGACCGCCACAAATATCCAAATATGGTTAACACCCGGTCATGCATGAAAAAAAAATACCGTCATGTACCGTGAAACCGGTATAATTTTGAAAAATACCATGATATAAATGTTTGGTCATACCGCCCAGCACTACCTGCTCATGTTGTATTGTAAATATGCCATGTAATAACCACATCCACACATGTTGCTGTTTTTCTTTAGTCTTTTTAACCTTTCTTTTACCATCACAGAATCCCATAATCAGTGGGGGCGTCCTGGTGGTCCAGGTACCGAGGAGCAGGAAGCTGAGGGCAACAGTATGATTAGCCAGACTGTTGCAATGGCAATTGCAGGGACCTCTGTGCCACAGATGTCACGGCCTAGTAGTTTTCTGCTCAATCCACAGGTATTGTGACCTCACTGATTGGTTGCAGTGTGTGTGTGTGTGTGTGTGTGTGTGAATTAGAGGTCTGCAAGCCCGACGGGGCCCGACATGCGGGCCGGGTTCGGGCCATTTATTTTTATTTTTTTTTTACAGATCGGGCTCGGGTCGGACTCGGGCTCTCTCCTTTTATTGTGCCCATATACGCGCCGAGCACATATAAGCTATGTTTCCATCCCCCTATTTTAATGCGCATTTTGAAGTATCGCATGAGAAACGAGGGATGGAAACACCAAATTTCTAATAAAAATCCCTTAATTCGCAAAAAAGTTTTTACGCTCGCTTGAGGTGGTTTTTGACTTGTGCGAAAAAGGGTTGATGCGAATTATGGGAGATGGAAATGCATTTTGCGAATAAATTCCTCCAAGCGCATCAGAAAAGTCATGTGACTTTGCCAGTGTTGCCAATTTAGCTACTTTGTAGCTAGATTTAGCGACTTCCCCGCCCCTTTTAGTAATTTATTATATATGAAAATTATTATATTTTCCTACTTTTCTTAGTGATTTATAGTGCCAGTTTATCAGGAAGTGACGATTTAGTTCTCTTTGACTTGTTGGATGGAAGCGATGCTTGTTAAATTCACAACTTTGGATGGAAACCCGGCTATAGGCTACTGTATGAAATATTGTTATAATGATTATATTATAAATATTATACATCGCAGAAATACGCAACGCATATACGCACGCATTAGAATACAGGTGACAGTTGACCATGCAGAGCATCAGGGAGAAGTAAGTTGGAGCGTGGGGAGTTACTAAAAGTTCCCAATGCTTCGGGAAAAGCTGCATTTTGGAAGAGTTTTGATTTGATTACCACGGCAAACAGTGAGTCAATTGGTCATGTGCAGTGCAGAATCTGCAAACATATCCTTGTACATAACAGCAAAAAACGCACACAATAGGCTAAAGCATGCCGCAAAGACCCAGCAAAAGTAATTACCATGAATGTGTCGGGGGGGTAGTAAGGAGATATTTGAATTATTTATTAATAAATTAGTGTTTTCTGAGTCCGTGTCGCAAAGATGAAGACGACGATCCTGATCCTGAGAAATGCATCTAAATGACGGCATATTTTAAGTTGTTTCCAGTGCAAGTGATCGTGCCGGTGCCTCAATGTCCTGTAAAGCGCGCTTTAGCTCTACGCACAAAAGATTAGATATGCGTCTAATAGCGCACATTTATATAGGTTTAACGAACAAAAAAATGCTCCAAACGGTTTTTTCTATATTAACTTAATAAAAAAACGAAACGAAATATAATCACTTTGACATTACATGCAAAACTGAACCAATAGCTGAAACAGTAGTATAAGCTGTTTTGGGAGAAGGGGGAAAAAAAGACTGGCTTGGTTCGGACTCGGGCCAAGAATTCTGATGAGCTGTCGGACACGGGCCGGGCTAGGGCCTGAGCGTCTCAGGCCAGGGCCGGGCTAGGGCCTAAATTTGAGGCCTGTGCAGGGCTCTAGTGTGAATGACAGAAATGACACCCTTCGCATTTAAAGTAAAGCCATTTTTTGTGCACATCCTTTTTATTTTCAAAAAACGTAAGCTGCCATAATGAATTTAATTCTTTTGAATGAAAATAGATTACTTGATGTTAGAAACAATTAGACCAAAGCAATGTTATACAACAAGAAAGCCACATCATGCAGTGTCTGAAAAAGGAGAATATCAATCGTTCACTAAAATCTATACACCTTGTTCTCCAGGCCACCCGTCAGCATGGCTCGTTCTCAGCTGAGTCCAGTCGTAGTCTGCTCATCTGTCTGCTGTGGGTGCTGAAGAATGCCGATGAGATGGTGCTTCAGAAATGGTTCACTGACCTGTCTGTCTCGCAGCTCAATCGCCTGTTGGACCTGCTCTACCTCTGTGCCTCCTGCTTTGAATACAAGGTTTGAATAAGCTTCATAGTTGAGGGAGCTAATGCCAAAGGTATTAATCAGATGTCTCCATCGCACTTATGGATCTCTCAGTAGAAATATATATGTATCTCTTTCACGTCTGTTTCCGTTTCCGTTCATCTCTAAATAAATGCAGCCAATGTGCTCAGCTATGTTCTTTCACAAACCAAGTCAAATTAATGAATGTTTGTGTGTTTCTGTCCATCCATCTCATACAAAAAGGCCCATTTTTTGTTCATGCAGGGCAAAAAGGCATTTGAACGTATGAACAGTCTAACCTTTAAGAAATCCAAAGACATGAAAGCCAAGTTGGAAGAAGCCATCCTAGGCAGTATTGGAGCCAGACAGGAGATGGTGCGACGGAGCAGGGGGCAGCTTGGTTAGTTAAA